GTTATCGGCTACATGAGTTTTACAATATCGCCATATCGGATATCGGCCAAAATCCCAATATCGTGCATCCCTAGATAGAAATAGAAATTAATCGTCATTTAGTGAAAAATTAATTATATAAAACTTGTAGATTCAAGTTGTGTGGGAGAATAAAAGCCCCATGTTGAAATATCCTAGCTGCAGTTTACAAAACCCCTCAGTTCTTCAAGGAAAAAAATAAGACCACCAAAGGAACCTTGTACATTTTCCTCTGATTGCATCACGTCTAAATCACATCAAAACTATTCATGGAAGGAGGGAGGGGTTAATAAAGACAGATGTTCTTTATGACATATCATCATGACAAGGGAGGAAAATCCATGTCAGTCCACTGGAAACATCATACTTGTTGTCTTCCTCTTCATCTAGGACCGAGTAGCGAAGGCAGCAGCCTCAGACTCCCAGACTTCCCTCTACTCAGACACCCAATCCAGCTCTGCTGGCACTCCCAGGCTAGCCGAGACATATAGTCCCTCCAGCATGTTCTAGGTCGTCCTCTAGCCCTGCTACTGGTGGGACGAGCCTGGAACATTTCCTGAAGGGGGCATCGATGTGGAGAAAAGGCGGCTCTACTCCTATACTCCCAGATGACCGCGACCCTCACCCTAAATCTAAGAGCACACACACCCAGCAGAGAAAGCTCATTTCAGCAGCTCATATCCCGAATCTCGTTCTTTCAGTCATGATCCAGATTTCAGGACCATAGGTGAAGGTAGGAACGTAGACCGACTGGTAAATCAAGAGCTTTGCCTTTTTGCTCAGCTCTCTCTTCACCAAAACAGGTGCAGCGTCCGCATTAAGGCTGCCGCACTGATTTGTCTAACAATCGATAAATGAACAGGAAACCAAGATACTTAAACTCCTCCACTTTGGGTAGGAACTCTCCTTCCACCTGAAGGGGACAGGCCACCTATTTCCAGAACAATGGCCTCAGATTTGGAGGAGCGTTTCTCACCTCCTGGAAACATTTCCATCAAATATCTTTAATACGTGTTTTTACTGGGTTGTTTTAATATTTGGCTATTGGTCTTAAATTCTGATTACCTGATTATTAGCCTGAGTTTTAATGATGTTTAACTGTCCACTCGGTTCTGTATCGTCCTCCTTTTTTTTTGCATTTTAAAGCTCAATTTACAACCTAGCTTTGATTCAGACGTAGAAAGAATCAGTGGTGAATATTTTTTGTTCCTTTTTCCTTAAGAGGTATTTCACAAGTATAAAACAAGACATCCTAAAGAAACTAAGATTTTTGGAGGTAGATTAATCTAGTGTTACAATCTTACCTGGCCAAAAGTGTGACGGCACCTGCAACCACAGGAGAGGCCACGCTGGTCCCAGACAACGAGCGGCATCCCTCCTTCAACCCTGAGCCTCGAACTCCTGAACCGTAGGTTACGATATCAGGCTTTACTCTGCCATACCCCCCAGGCAGCTCCTGCACAAGGATCAAAAAGAAGCAGAGCTTGTGATGAGGGCTGCATATCAGACTGAAAATGGTTTTAAATTAAAGCATAACTACAGAATGCAAAGAGAAATAATTATTTTTTTCATGCATTTTTGTCATAGTAACAAAAAGATTGTCTGGTGGTCAACTAACTCCAACAGAGATTATTTGAAAAACTCATCTTAGCACCAACTTACCCAAGTTGTCATGCCTCTCGAAGAAAACCTTGCTATGTTGTCTTCAAAGTCTATCCCTCCAACTCCAATCACATCCATCTGGTCGGCTGGATTGTTCAGGGTGCTAAAAGTTATTGGGAAATTGTTTCAAACGGTTGTTAGGGACAATTTGTATTAATTTAACAACACAACATTGTTTCTGTTTATTATGTAAATAAAGGATCTGCAGTGAATAAATTTGGTCCTAATACGGTCCAAACATGTTAGTTCTAGTTTGGTGTAACCAAAAAGTCAAATTTTACTATCTTATCAGGACACTAAATAAGCAATAACCAGATCAAAATGGGATACCTTCAAAGGAGCAACATTTGAAAAGATAAAACGTACCCATACAGAGGTCCATCGTTTCCGATGGCAGAGACCATGATGACTTTGTTGGCAGTCAGCTCCCAGACCTGTCGATATACAAAATTTTGGTTCAAATTGATATATAATGGTTAAACACCTGAAGAGTTTCTATTACCAGGGTTTTTCATCCCCACATTTGTTGAAATTTAGGGGAATTTTTGTCATATTTCACAATGTTAATGTTTTCTCCCATGCAATTTCAGGCACATTTTAAACACGATAGCAAACGCTACGATCTCTATTGGTTTTGGTTTGGAGTTTGGCTCAACTGTAGGAACACATGCTTTGAATTTTATATGAAGAATCTTTAGTTGGAGTAACACAAAACATCATCAGACAAAAGAAATCATCCAAGTACTACTGAAAACATGCAAAAACATGGTTGTCCAATTTAACATTGCTTGGATTGCTTTAATACCAAAACTGATTAAAATAACTTCTGAAAGACATTTTTACCATAACTGTAAAAATGTTTGTTTTTTTCAAGAATTCTAGCTTTAACATTGTTTTTCACGTTCAAAAACAGAAACAAAACATGTTTAAACTCAGCAGGGAGGGATGAACCTTAAAAAGCATCTGGTTCTACATGTTTTCATGAGCCTGGTTTGACCTGTTTGAAGAGACACTTAACCTGCTTTGCTTCATTAAGTTGTGGTATTCATCACAAACCATTCAAAGGTTCTGGTGGGAAAAAAACCCTTCGGGCTACACATAGTTGTACACTTTACCTTATCGACAAAGGGATGGTCCATGAAGTCAGGTCCACCAATACTGAGGTTCAAAACATCAATTTTCTTTAGGATGGCATAGTTGAAAGCATCCAGAAACCATGAGGTGTAGGAAACCTAGAATATAGAAATGGCACAAACTTTGGTTTCAGAGTGTAATGTTGTATTTTTATATGTGCAAAAAGACCAAAAAACTAAATGTATACAGTGATGGCTGAGCTGTGAATACCTGGTTGTTGGTGAACACTCTAAAGATGTGGAGCTCTGAGTCGGGGGCAAAGCCCTGACACTCCCTCATACTGGCTATAACTCCTGCTACAAACGTACCGTGACCCAGGCCTGAAAAACAGGAAAGGACATCCATCACTTTCAGGTCCAACAAGATCATAAGAGAACGCTCAACCAATTACACACGAAAAGCCTTTGAGTTTACAATTCAGATTATGCACAATTCAGTTTTTTTTTTTACACTAAATAGACTTTAAATAAATTAAGATAACAGATCATAATAATAATAATAATGATAAGGGTTCCTACACATTTTTATTATACAAAAAAAATGTAGGGGGGGTAAAGAAAACATACTAAAGAGGGAAGGAAGAAAAATTGGAAAGAGATGGAGTATTTAAAAAATAATGAAGACTGGAAACACACATCTGCCTCTATTCTCTCATTTTTTCCTTAACAAATATAAAATAAAAAATCTAATTCTGGACAATTAGAGATGCTGCAGTTGAAACAGGAATGATTGACAACAACAGTTAACAAGATTTCTACTGAAGACTTAGAAGGTTGCTCAAAAATTTCATTTGGAAAAACTTCCCTGAACAGAAGTCAAAGAAGAACGAATAGATAAAAAATTTTTTTTAACCAAGTTGAAACAAAACAAAACTTTGTCTCAGCTCAGAGTTATGTCGAGGTCGAGGTGTTAAGATTGTATATAATCAGCTGTTAGATATTAAAGAACTATTTTTAATGTTGTGCAAAGCTACACCTACCAGAACAGGTTTAAAGTTACCATGAACTAGTTCATGAGTTTACAACCCAGTAATAACCCAGTGCAGGGCTAAGTATTATTTGGGATTACCTTAACTCGTTCTACTCTCAGTTCTCAATCTTTACAATGTCTTCCAGCTCAGATTTTTGCACAAGTGTAATTCATCCCATTTTAATTATATACCCAGCCCCGAGCCAAATTTTGAAAAATGCCACCAAAGTGGTGATCTTAAGAGACCTTAAGGGATTAGTGGAAACGTTTTCATAACAAGGGAAAGTGGCAGCTAGCTTAGCATAGGCTAGTCACACTGCTAGCAAATATGAAATAACTCCAATCTTTTTTTATAGCAGTGATAATGGATCATCTTGGTCTTTCCAAGCTTAAAAAAGGAAAAAAAAAAAAAATATATATATATATATATTAAGCGACGTTCATATGTGGCAGTAAATAAGATACTTATCCAAAAGTTTTTAAAGAGTCCAGGTGCAAAGTTGAAGCTACTTCCAGGGATTCCATTAAACTTTCCTAACTTGGAAATTATTGCAAATTTCTGTGTTTCAGGTGTGAAAGGAACAGTTTGAAGTTAAGTACAGACTGGTTCAGATATTCCTAACTTTTAAAAACAGGACTGATCTAGCTCCATCAAACATTGCAGGCAGTTTGGTGGTTTTGGATTTCATTTGATCTTGATTTGTTTTTTTAATCATACAGTCCAACTGAGATAGTAAATGAGGGAAATAACTGATTTCTATGATAATATAACGTCATTACTTTAACCCAATGAAATAATCAAAAAAATTAGACAGAGCAAGATCAGCCAAATAAATTCGGAGCGGCCAGATCCATAGTGAGAACAGAACCCTTACATAAAGCGTTCTTTCCACACCAGAGAAACAAAAAAATACCTCAAAAACCCAAAACATTAATATTTCCTGTACAAACCAGGTTAAGTACAATCTCCATACCAAAATAAACACTAAAGCTTTTCTTATATTCATGTCTTTCTGTTTAAAGTTGATTAAACGTTTGACTAAAAGGTGAATAAGTCATGACATCCGCACTTATCTTAAACATAGGGATTTTCCTCACCATCATCCAGAGTTTTTTCATTGGTCCAGTTTGTTCGTTCTTTTACATTTTTAAAATGTGGGTGCTTCTCACTCAGTCCCGTATCAAAAACCGCCACCTTCACACCAGAACCTGCACATCAGGAAGAGATTATGTTAGGAAGCATTGCTATGGTTTATATATATATTTTTTTAACCTTAGAAGTAGAAGTCACTTTCTTACCAGTGTGTCCCATCTGCCACAGAACATCTGCCTGGAGGATCTGAGCAACATGGCGGGGAATGGCACGAAGCAGCCGGCGGCTGGAGTGCCGACCGGTGGCGTGCCAAAAACCCGAGCCGAGTGACAGGCTGGTCCGCCTGAAGGGCCGAGACGACTGCCACGACTGCCATTTTTGGGAATCAGGTGTGCCGTTACAGGGTGCAGCAGGTTCAGGTGCTGTTAGGACAAAAGAAAAGCAAATAAAAAACAACAATAAGCACAGAATAGACAGAATACAGTAACACTGAGCTCTGATCATTTAACTGTTTCAACCTCTAAATGGGATTAAGGTGATGCCTAAAACATAAGTCCACTTTTCTTAACTAGCTGGCATGTAGCCAGGTTCTTTACAAGTATTTTTAAAGCTGATGCTGATATAAATTACTTTGACACCAATCTAAGTGGTATGTGTTGCTGGTATTTTTGGCCATTTTTAGAGATGATATAGTTTTTACTTTCTACATTTACACAATAAAAAATACACATTGATAAATATTACACAAGTCTCAATTTATACAGAAATTAGCAAACAAAATATTAAAAATGGACACCTACTGGAGGGAGCCGGTGAGATCTGAATGCTATACGGAATCGGCCAAAGGCTGTTAGATCAAAAGGCTGAATTACTCTATGCTTCATGTACCTGGAGAAAACTCTGGAGTGGCACTCTGCCACTTTTCCTGCTAAATATAACATTAAACCTCAGCAAAAATTCAATGTGTTAACAAATTAACAGCTTTTCCAATGAACAATACATTTCACAAATACAGAAATAATTGGATTTCACATAACAGTAAATAACCTTGATAAAAGCTGGAGAGGTTGATATTAAAATTAAATATACAGACAGCTGGATCGGGCCTCAAAGTACCTGAAGTAAAAGTCTACAAGTTTTAGATGTTTGATAAGTTTATGTTAAAACCAAGGCTAGACAAGAACTACCAATAAATGAAGGAGCGCTGAGGCAAGGAACATTTATGTCACATCCTGAAAGCTTAATATCAGAGAACTACTGTAATCAGCAATGCAGATAGCATGGAATGACTGAGCTGCGTGGGTCAGTTCTCTGCTCTGTACAGCAGTGTATTATTCAAACACTACCTCATTTCTCTTAGGGGAGATCCTCTCATCTCAATATAAAAGAAGACAGAACAGAGAGTGATGCTTCCATTGCGTATGCTGTATGGGACATTTTTGGTTGGGAAACCCAATTAATTTCAGTTACTGTCAGAGGATAAAAATGATTCTTTCCCATTCTACATTTACATACTTTTAAGACCCGGTCAAGTTAGGATCTTTAGTTGTTCCTTAACTAATCCTGTTAAAAAAATGCATGCTGCAGCTGAAGTCTAAATTACACTCAACTTTGCTCATGTTTATAAAGTAGTCAGATCATTGAAGAAATGTGACAACAGTACAGTTCCACTCTAACATGGGAGTTTGATGACAGATTTAGGAAAACCCTTCACCACATGTATTTCTGAATGACAAAAATGTAAAAAAAAATGCAGTCGGGTATGTAAAGTTGCTGTAAAATTAACACAGACATGTTGGATTAGTCTGATGTTGACAATATTTTAAGTAAAGTAAGTAAATACTTGGAAAGAAAAACAGGGTCCATCCTGTATAAACAACTTCTTTAGAGAGACACGTTGGTGGCCCTGTCATGCTGTGGGGATGCGTTTCTTTGGCACAGAGCTAGTCAGAGCTAATTTGAGGCTAAAGGAGGTAATCATTAAAGAAAACTTTTAAAAGGCAATGAAAGACATACTTATAGAAAAAGCTTTCAGTAAGATGACTAACAGACAATCAAAGCTGTAATGGAATGGCTTTGATCAATACATATTCCTGTGTTACTGGTCAAAGTCCAAACTTAAAATTAACTAAGAATTTGAGCCAATAGTTAATATTTTTACTGAGGCTCTTCGTCCAGTTTGACTGAGATCAAGTTTTCTTTTATGCAAAGAATAGGATCAATTTTCAGTTTCTAGATAAACAAAGATGGCAGGGGCAGAAACCAAAACTTGCAGCTGTGATCTGTAGCAAAAAAGTACTTTCAAGTACCGATTCAGCTCAGCTTAATAAAAGTCGCTGCCACAATTCTAAGAATTTTGCCAGAAAACATTTTATAGCACTACGTTTTGATTTACACTTCACAATTATGCTTTACTTTCTCTTAGCGTTTTATACCAAATACAATGAAGTTTGTGGTCGAAAGATAAAAATCTGTAAAGATTCAATGGTTTATTAATACTTTTTAAAGATTCATCAATAGAAAAACAAACCTTCCGAAAAACACAAATGTGTTGAAATTAAGTTGATTTCTTTGTATTTTTTAGACCAAAACAATTATAAGAAATAAAAACAGGATTTCCATCATCCATCAGATCATTTCTCTGAGACATCCCCAGAGTTTTACCTTCTTACCTCTCTCGGTTGACACCTCTAAATTAATTTGAGCTCATTATAGCCGGTGTTACTGCAGCGGATTGAAGCTTTAACTGTAGCTGCACCTGGGACCAAAAAATATCTTTAAAGATGGCTGAACTAAACTGAATGAGTTTAAAATCTACTGCAAACTTTTCTCCGGAAACACACACCACCCATAGTGACACAGCATGTTTATAAGCACACTGAAGCCTTTCATCCAGTGCCAGGCTCAGGGCGTACCCCTCCAGCCCACTCTGACTCACTTAATCCCACCCAAACACAGCTAAAAGACATTCTGTGTCCTACTTCCCATTCCCCTTCAACACAACCGTAGACCCATCAGCACCCCCCAATCTGCCCTGCGCTTTACATCGAGATACACAATCCACTGCTGCAACACAAACAAAGACTCTCTGTGAAAAGCTGCAGCAGATCCGTCTACTGTATCCATTCAGAGTTTTAGATTTCTCAACACTGCCGTGCCAACCCTGAAAACAAAAACGGATCCTTATTCTTACACAATGACGTTCTAGTGTGCGACTCACAGGGAATGTATTTGAGGGATCGGAAAACTTTGCGTTGCGGAGTCACCCTCTTGATGTAAGGGTGGTTCTCTAGAGTCAGCAGGCTGCTGGATGAAGCCTGCCGGATGTGGATCAGTTCGAAGTCGCTGGGAAAGTCTGAGGCCGGGTTCTCTCTGGGAACAATGTGCCACTCGAGCTTTTTGTCTCCAGATCCACGCAAGGCACTGCTGATGTATAAGCTGCGGGCTTTGGCTGAGAAATACCCGGTAAAAGTGACGATGTACTCTGCAGAGACAGACAGAAGAATATGTTACTGAGTTAAATAATCAATGCTGCAACAACATACTGCATAAAATGTAGTTTTGCATATTAGTAGCATTTCTTTGGGTACATGTATGGCTTCCCAAAACATTACACAGACTGCACCAACAACTTAAATAGTTAGAGGGAACTTAACACCTTTTGCTATCCTGTTTCTTCACAAGACTTTTCTATTTAAGAAGTCCTGAAATTCAAAAAGGCATTCTATAAAGGTTAAGTAGCAATGAATTGTTTGCCTTTTTTCCCCAAAAGTGATTTAATCTTTGTTTAGGTGACCAAAGCCCACATGTAATGGTTTAGTGAACTTCATGTTCACAAAGCCATGTTCAAGACATGCCTTTGGAACTTTAGCAGTTGTTATAGACATGTCTGAAACCCATTCCAAATAAAATATTACGTTTGATATAAAAAAAATATATATACAACTGAAATCTTTAGGTTTGCATATCTAAAAACTGGTGCAAACATGTCTGTACGCGCAATGCAGATCATTAAAAAAAGGTCCAGAGTGGTTTGAAACAGAGTGGTTTGAAATGTAAATCCTTCATTGTCCCACAGTGGGGAAATTCAATCTCTGCATTTAAACCATGCCCTTGGGAAGCAGTAGTCTGCCACTGTTGGCGCCCAGGGAGCAGTCTGGGGTTAAGGGTCTTGCTCAGGGACCCAGAGTGTGTGGGACTTGAACTCAGAACTTCTGGGACCCAAGCGCAATGCTCTAACCACTAGGCCACCCCTACTTTCTTTGCAGTTTAACATTAAGCGTGTGCAAACCTCTTTTTTTGTGTGTGTCTATGCCTTCATCGATATGCAGATCATATTCTAATGATCAAACACAAAACGCAAATGCAAAATCTTTACAGGTGGGCAAAAATGAATGGGACTCAACAGTAAAGGAAAACTTTCTTCTGTATATTTCCTATTTTATAATAGTTCTTTTCCTCATTTTATGTTTGCTCATAGCACTTTGAGTATGTAAAGTGCTCTATAACTATGATTTTTTATTATAATTAATATCTTTTAAATATATTAGCAGCCCTATAACATAGGGCTGCTCAGTGGAGCAGTGGGTAGCACTGCTGCCTTGTAGCAATAAGGTTCCAGATTCGATTCCCGGCCCGGCTCTTTCTGCATGGAGTTTGCATGTTCTCCCTGTGCATGCGTGGGTTCTCTCTTCCTCCCACAGTTCAAAAACATGACTGTTAGGTTCCTTGGCTTCTCTAAATTCTCCTCAGGTGTGCATGTGAATGGTTGTTAGTCCTGTTTGTCTCTGTGTTGCTCTGCGATGGACCGGCGACCTGTCCTGGGTGTACCCCGCCTCTCAGCCGTAGACAGCTGCAGATAGGAACCACCCACTTGGGATAAGCGTGACATAAAATGGATGGAGGGGTGGATGGATCTTTTAAATACGTTTTATCGTTATTACTTCTAACCACATGGCTTGGAACCTCATTCTTATTTTACAACCACCCTCAGCTGCCAATAGAACACGCAGTCTGTTCATATTAGCGGGCAATAATCAAACTGGTTTGCATGTCATAACATTTGTGCAGCAATCTTTATTGATCACCAGCAACACAAGCAGTAATTGAATGTAAAAAAAAAATTTAAAACAAATGGAGCACCTCTGATTTGGAATCAATGAAGATCAGACCCTCAGTGTTTTCAGCAAAAATATCATTCATTTAAAATCAAAGTATATTCTTCCCAACATCTAAAATAATCCAATATAAGCAACAAAGTTTTCTCGTCTTTCCACATTTTAAGATTAGCTAAGGGAAAAATTCCATGTTTCCTGGTTTCCATGTAGGCACAACTTGTTTGTTTTTGTTTTTTATTTCATGCTACTAAAATAAAACATGACTTCATGTTAATCCCTTTTAAAATCATCTTCACCTAGAAAGCCTTTGTTGGTGGAAGGTGCTATAAATGATGTCATACAAAGATCAATAAAAACAGTTCCTTACCATTTTCTACCACCTCAGAAGAAAAGTCCAGTTTTAGGGTCAACTGGGAGCAGTTCGAACCAGAAGGTGAGGGGAGCGGCTCAAAGTTGGGAGGCTGATAGTTGGTTCTGGGGTTTGCTTCCTGTTCCGACTGCGTCCCCACCATTGGCAAGAGCCCTGCCAGCAGCGTCAGAAGCATGGTAGCCAGCAACGAGAACAGAACCATTTTGGTTCGTAAAGAAAGAAGCACAAACTGTTTTATCACATCAGAGGTTGAGGCGGAACATTTTCAGGTCCACAGCTCTAAATAGGAGTCCATTTTGCAAACAGCCAGGGCAGCTAGATGAATTTCTTTCTGCGTTTTCTCTCCATGGTGGCGGCCCAGAGCGGCGGCTCAGCGACAGGGCCAGAGAACGAAAGCCGTTGCCATGTTGGAAACCGGAGCAGTCAGAGGAAGAGGAGACGATGGATGAGAGGGCAGCGGCAGCACAGAGAGGGAAGGATGCTGGTGGCGCTCAGAGATGCTTCTGGATTATTTCTCTTTTTTGTTGCTTTTTTATTTTTTCTGTGAAGAAAAAAAAAAAATAGAACACAGAAGATTAACAAAATTTTGTGATTCTTCAACTCCATTACACAAATAATAACATATCATAAAATTATTACCGTATTAATTATTATGTCATATTATCAAAGACCACTGCAAATTATGTAAGCATTAGTCAATAGGTGCTCTGTCAGCATCATTTCCTGCCCAGACAGCACAGAGTCTGCAGCTCAGATTACCAAGCACCCAGCAGCAAACCCAGCAGACAGGGATGTCCCTGACACTAGTGTGCACAATACAACTAGCAGGTCATCAGTGGACAGTCTTATTACAGGGAAAAGATTGAAATTAAGATAAGAAAGGACTGGAACACCAGAAACGAGAGATTAGGTCAATAACGTTTTGTTGCTAGCTAGCATAAGTGGAGTGAGCATAACATGACATACAGGAAGCGTACTCTCAGCTAAGGCTAGCTGACTTAGGAGGACATAACAGCTAATTGATAAATAGCTTAAGGAGTTAGCATTCACCCTTGATTCTCGCCACAGAGGAAGTTAGGAGGCTTTCAAGTGAAGAAATAGCTACACTTTTCTCTTCTCCATCCACTGTCTGTTTTAGAAACCAGGCATTATGCGACCTTGTTATCCAACTAATTGATTAATGTATCCATTATTTTTTCAATAAATCGATTAATAATAAGATAAGCAAAGATTCCTTGAAGAAGATTTTAGTAAACCAGGTGAAACTAACACTTTTACACTTGAGTTCTAGATAGAGCATAGTGACAGACAAAAAAGTTTTTTTATCTTTAATGCAAAACATTTATATATATTTTTTATGATTTTGATATAATTACTGCTCTGGATGGGTCGCTCTGTCAGCTAAAGGCATGTTTTATATTTCAATAATCGATTAATCATAATTAATCCAATTAATTGTTTCAGAACTAATTGAAATAAAACATGATAAATCCAGGGTTTCCTTCAAGGCTAATGGTGATTTTGTCAAATTCATCAGAGATCGACTGATGATGCCAATAACAGATATCTGCTGCCAATTTTTGTGGGCCGACTCTTGGAGGTGATATTGCTTTCTCTTCCTCTATTTATATGGTCAAAATAACACAATGAAAAAAATTTTTTTACACAAGTCTCAATTTATAAAAAAAAAACAAAAAAAAACATCTATTTACACATGAAGTAAAAACATTAATAATGGGAAGGAAATGGAGGGAGCAGCCACACTTGTCCTCCATTTGATCTCTGGACATGGCTGTTGCCACGTGTTCGCATCGGCGAATACCGATAGAAGAAACGGTAATATTGGCCAATAATATTTTCTGGTCGATGTACTGATCTACCCTTAATATTTACATGATGTGATTTTTAATCAATATTCATCAGTGGTATGGATATGGTAATGGGTGGACTTTAAGAACATTGTGGCGAGCTCAAAACATGTCAATACTTCACTGCAATCTAATGTAGCATTTAGAACCAATAAGCATATTCCAGATCACAATATCATAATAAAGCTCTACTTGCAATCATTAAAATGCTTTAATTTTAAATTTCAAATGTAGCTGCTTAAATTGACTTCAGTCTATTCCTGCTGGCTGTGTTTATAGTGATACTAAGCAAGTAAAAAATCTTTTCATTTCTTTTCAGATGTGCTTCCTGCATCATAAAAACCCAGGCCACTAGCAGACACCTCTGACTCAGACTCCTGTGATGTTCTAATAAATGGTCCTATTCTCTACACTATTCCCCTTTACCTCTGCACACAAACAATGAGGGAAAATCTGGACACTTAGAGCCAAATAACTGGCTGAATGTTTTAAGGTAAGAACGGTTTGTTAATGTTATACTTACACTTGGCTCTGTTATCATTTCTTTTATTTTATTAAATAAGTGTATAATTCAACCTGTGGTTCATTTTGCATAGGTTTTAGTTTAGCTGTATTTTTAATAGAGAGGACATGTTTTGTGATTTGGCTCCATATAAATAAGCTGATTGAAGTTAAAACAATTATTTTGGTTTTATATCCATGAGTCAAATAAAGCTGAAACCTATAGAATTGTGCCTCCTGCCCATTTATAATGTTTTCATGCTATTTTTCTTTTGATATTTTGTTTTATCTAACATTGAACTTGAGTGAAGTAGAATGTCACACAGGTATATGTTGAAGTCTCTGTGGGGGTGGCTACAGTTGGGGGAAGCGTTCAACCTAATTGCTAAAGTAAACAGCACTAGTAGACAGTTTTGACTATGGGACTATTTGTTCCGCTGAGCCAAAGGGAAGGAAGGGAGGGAGGCGTTGAACGCTGAGAGAAATACAATGATGGGGTTTAAGAACCGCTCCTTAAATTCATTCCCACATGACATGTTATGTTTGTACTGCTCTATGGAACCAACCTTTTAACTGAATAAAACACATTTAAAGTAAAGAAGAAAAAAAAATCTAATATAACCTGTAAGAATATCCGCTTGTCCGCTTGACAAGTTGCATCAAAACAGCATCGAGTGGCCTAACAAAATAGGGAACGTAAAAAACACGAGAATCTGCACAGAATACTCAGAAACATTTGGATCTTCAGAAACATCCAGCAGCAGTATTGAAAGAACAAAAGAAAAAAAAATCTGAATACAAAATGTACAACTGTGTGATTCCTCGATACAAACAAACACACACCTCTGTTAGCATGTAGAAATGAAAAACTGGGCTTTTGACAGCTAAGTGATATACACACAGAGTTCACAATGAGCAGGATACAGGTTTAACAAGCCAATCTTTATTCCTGTAGAGCCTGTCAAAGTGTTTAGTGATCTTTATGCCCTGCCAAGTCCTCTGTTACTACTTTGGCTTTTTGTTTTATCTATGCATTCACTGATCCTCATTCTTAACATTTGTTTTCGGGCTAAAACTTAAAAAAAAAAAAGCTGCTTGATGGCTGCATTGATTTCTTTCCTCCAACCAGACTATGTCCCTGTGTTGAGCATGCAAAAACACACATCTGACCTAAATCTGCAGAACTGAGCCTTTTGTAAAACTTCAACGTAAAACAAAACAGAATCACACCGTAGAACATCCAGGACCTCTAATACTGTAAGTTTTGCGTCCAATCTGGTTGGGTGTGTTTGTGTAAAGGAGGCACAAAGAAAGCCGGTTCGAGCCCTCTTTATGCCTTCACTAAGCAGTTGACAAGAGACAATTTGGCTGAGCTTTTTTCATGTTTTAAACTGTAAATGGCACTGGAGATAAAATCTACAACTAGTAGCAGAAGTAGAGTCCTAAGAAGTTCATTTCTAATACAACTTTACAAGTTTGGCATAAAAATAACTTTAAAGCCATAATAACTCCAAAAACATCAAAAAAGAAAACAATTTTCCATCTTAGTTTGCATTGAACCATGCATATAATCGTTAAAAATGATGTGCTTTCAAACCCTTGTTTCCATTAAAAGAGAACTACTTGAGATCTTAACCAGGACCAAACATATACTAGTTACATTATACTAGTAAATATATTGTAAAGCAAGTTAAATGCTGTTTAACATTGTGGTGTACAACTGATGTAAATGACAAAAAATATTGGATGACTGAGGCTTATATTCTGACACCAGGTTCCTCCATCGATGACTCACCTCTTCTACAAAACCTGAAGAAATATCAGATCTAACCATCTGCTGCTGCAGTTTGTAGGCCTGGGCAATTACTTGCAAATTTGCAATATAATTTAAAGACATGTTATGCATGATTACTGAAAAATATTTTTAAAATAGCCTTTTTTATTTCACCCTTTACGATTAAAACATTGTTTGATGAGCAGACCAACACGTCAGTAGTTCAGCACCGATGCAATTTACAAGCCTGTGGCCTGTTTTCGTTAAATTACTTTGGGTCAGAAGTTCCCATGCTGGTCGGCAGATGTGACATCAAGAGCGTCCATGTTAAATAAGTCTGACCTAGCAAACAATCAGAGTGTATATTCAAGATGGATTTTGTGAATACTCAGAAGCAACCAGCATCCACTCAACTTGGACACCAATGACAACTCCATGTAAGTTAAAACAAAGTAAAAAAAAAAAAAGTCAATACGAGCGCGAGCTACAAGGACAAACAGAAGAGCGCAAAATGTAATTTTCAGATTGCAAATGGTGGCCACATGGTCACATCACAATCAACTACAGTAAGACAATACATTTCTCCCTCTTAGGTGAGAGAAATGGACTTAAAAGTCGGTTTGCTGCCACATAGAGGGAGAGAGAGTTGCAGCTGGTATGTGAATCAATGCATGACAGTAGAAAAATTAACTTTTTAATACAACAGTTACAGTCAAGTGCAAGGTCAAAACAGAAACCCTGGAGTAAAAAACGTACGTTTGTGCCTAGCGCACAAGGAAAATGAAAATAAAATATCACAATGTCAGTCGAAAATAATCGCAACTTTGGTTTTTGGCTAAATCATTAAGTGCTAGTTTTATATAATGGATGTTTAAGTTAGGATTTATATGCTACTTTTAGAGAGCTGTTTATAATGATGTTTAGCCAAAGAATCGATGACATCACTTGTAGAAAGCATAGACATGTATATCAGCTGTTTGATTGATTCATTAAAACCTGTTTGTCTTTTTCCATCAATCGGGCAACATATAGCACTTTAGAGAATTTGAAATTAAACTTGAACTAAGTATTAACTCCACATACAAATCTGAATGTGTTGCTTTAGTTACA